AATCCACTCACCTCAGCCTCCCAAAGCATGGGATTACAGGCTGAGCCACCAAGCCCAGCCCATGTTGAAACTTAATCTCCAATGCAACAGTATTAAAAGATGTGGTCTTTGGGAAGTGATTAAGATGTGAGAGCTCTGCCCTCATGTACGGGATTCGCATTTTTATAACAGGGATTTTGATTGAAAGTAGCCCTCTCTTGCCCTTCTGTCTTTTGCTATTGAGGACATCAACAATGCACCATCTTGGAAGCAGAAAGGAGTCCTCATTAGAGACCAAGACAGGTGTCCTGATCTTGGACTTCCCAGCATCCAGAACTAAAATAAATAAATTTCTATTCTTTATCAATGACCCGGTCTCAGGTATTTTGCTATAACAGCACTAATGGACTAAGATAAAAATATTCCATTAAGCAAATGAAAAGGCAAGCCACAGAGTGACTGAAGTTTCTGGAGGTGATGGATAAGTTTATTTCCTGGATTGTGGTGATGACACCATGAGTGTATATGTATGTCCCAGTGCACCAAATTGTGTACCTTAATTATGTACAGTTTTTTGAACACTAGTTATACCTTAATATAGCTAAGAAAAAAATGAAAATTCAGAATAAATATGCATGGTGTGACCCATTTATGATTTAAAAAAGGAGAGGGGGGGATGCAAAGCAGTGGTTTTGGTGTGGACATAAAAATTCTGGCTCTAACAGCAGTTCATTTCCCAGTTGAAGTAAGTTCATGTGTTAATTCTTGGTGGTTGTAAAGTATACAGCTTTACCTTTATATTCTCTGATTCTATGGATGTGGAGAATTAGTTTTACCCACAAAAAGTCTTTTTCTTGGGGATAAATATCTAAAAAAATGTTTTTTGTAGAGTTAATACATTGAACAACTACAAAGGCATACAGATGCAAGAAACAGGTGACTGGATAGAGCCAGAGAAGACAACAGGCCCAGAGGCGGGCAAAGGGAAAACTGTTGGGTTCATGGTTCAAGTAAACCAGCAGTTGGGGTGCAGTCTGCTTTATTTCCCCCACATCCATCTGAACAGCCCATCCAGACTTAAACACTGCTTTCGCATTGACTTCCCGGCAGGAAGAGAAGGTTGTGGTGATCTGAGTGTCTCTCAGCCCAGCAGAGCACCTTAGTCTGGATAGGATGTCCTCCACCCCTTGTGCCTACTAGTGGTAGGTGCGAGGCAGGCTGATGTGCATCGAACTTTCCTCTTTTGTTCCAACAAAAGAGCTGTTCCTGGAGCTTCAGTCAGTGAATGGTTCTTCTATGAGCTGCGGTTTGGTTCTTTGAGAGCTGTCTGAATCGAGGGGGCATTGGAACAGACAAAATGCATGCTTACATATAAGAAGGCTTGAAGTGCAGACAAAGGCGACTGAAAAGCCAGATCGCTGGGTGTGGTGGCTCACGCCTATAATCCCAGCACTTTGGCAGGCCGAGGTGAGGGGATTCCTGAGCCCACAGGTTCAAGACCAGCCTGGGCAACTTGGAGAGACCTCATCTCTACAATAAATCGAAAAATTAGCCGGGCGTTGTGGTGTATGCCTGTAGTTTCAGCCACTTGGAAGGATGAGGCAGAAGGACCGCCTGAGCCCAGCAGGTCAAGGCTGCGGTGGCCGTTAGTGGACAACTGTACTCCAGCCTGGGTGACAGAGTGAGGCTCCAGCTCTAAATAAATAAATAAATAAAAACAGAACAAAGATTTTTTTTTTTTTGAGTTGGAGTCTCACTCTGTCACCCAGTCACTGTAGCCTCGACCTGCTGGGCTCCGGCGATCCTTCCACCTCAGACTTCCAGTAGCTGGAACTACAGGCGTGCACTACCATGCCCGGCTAATTTTTGATTTATTGTAGAGATGAGGTCTCACCAAGTTGCCCAGGCGGGTCTCGAACCCACAGGCTCAGGCAATCCACTCACCTCAGCCTCC